GCCACCTGACTTCTCAGACTACGACAGAGAGAGACAGAGTTGTGACTCGAGACTTGACGACATTGGATCCAGACTTCACACTTGGGATTCAGACATTTCGRCGAGGGACTATTTGGGCTTGTGCCGAAGACTTGGTGTTGACGACCTTCCCATCTTCCCCTCCTCTTCGTTTATCCCCTTCCTCTTCGTCTGTGTATGGTACKGGCTGGCGCTGTCTTCCTGTGTGAAGCGCCAGGCYCATTCACACCATGTAACGATGATGATGATGTATGTTCAGGGCTGCATTACAACATTGATTGTTCCGATCACTGGTATCTAAGTCTTCCGTTGTGCTATCTTATACTTTGTATTGAAAGGCCGGTTCTTGTTCTGGTCTGCACGTTATAGTATGCAACACGTACACAGCGAGGCGACTTGGGATCTCTCCAGGAGACGGACGTCTCCTGACGAAGTGCGCCTGATCAGCACGGTAAGACACGAAAACGGGGGTAGAAGCAGCGAGCCAAGGGGTTTGCAGCTCACGGGAGGTTGTTTGGAGCTAACATTGGAGATGGTCGTTTTAGCCAGCATGTAGTTTCTCTGCGACGAGACTGAGATGAAGCGGCAACCTATGCTACTGATGAGGAGACACTCTCCGCTTGATCTACTCTCCTGATGAGTAGTCCGCGGGGTAGCAAGATACAATAGAAAACGTTCGCATGCTTCTGATTGGGAAGAGAACGCCGCTTCGGAAATAAGGGGGAGAGAGAACAGAGAAGAGGGGAGGTAAACGTGGAATAACCGTGTGAGCGCGTTTGTAAGAGAAGAGAAGGGGAAACAGACGGGAATAATCTCCTTATTCGGAAATGAACGCACCTGGCCGCTGGTGAGGATAGGTTCATTCAGATTACAGGCAAGGCTGCTAACCGAAGGGGAAACAAGGGAGAGTGAATGGAAGAGTGAGCGGAGGAGACGGGGCCCACCTGTGCCTGGGTGTGATTGAATATGAAGAAGAAGTAAACGGTCAAGCGGGCTGCATGCGCTGTATGAAAGAAGGGGGGGGTTTCTGCGGCCCAAAATCGAGAGCTTGATCCCAAAGGCAGCTGGGGGGGGGGGCAGCGATCAGAGTGGGGAAAATCGGTGAAGAGAAGAAATCGACGAAAACAGTGCCCGAGAATCGGCTCACCTCTCAAGTTCATGGGGATCATCTGAACCGAGCCTGTAGATAGGTTCGCAACTTACTCGTACCTGCCGACTTCCTTGTTCACAGTCTGCCCTTGATTGCTAAGTTGACCCACAACCTATTTCTGGTGTCTTCTTGAAACTGAGCCTGAGAGCTGGGTCGCGTTTTTTTTTTTTTTTTTTTTTTTTTTTTTTTTTTTTTTTTTTTTTTTTTTTT